TTCTCTTTCTCTCTCTCTCTCTCTCTCTCTCTCTCTCTCTCTCTCTCTCTCTCTCTCTCTCTCTTTCTCTCTCTCTTCCTCACTCACTCACTCCCCTCTCCCTCCTTGTTAGGTATAAGATTGAGAGTATCCGAGATATTAAAACTCATCTTCAGAAGAGACGTCACACTGAAGCTTCAGGCTTCTCTAATGATCACAGACTGTGTAGTCCATTTTCTCTTCACAAGAACCTTGTCTATTGAGTTTGCAGTTGTCCTCAGGTCAACAGCCACAGGCAGTTATGGCCCCAGAGCAGGAAATCTTACCATGGCAGCCTCCGTGGTTCGATTCCATATCCCTCCACTTCACAGCTCTGAGGTTCCCCGTCCAGGATGCATTTGGCATAGCGCCAGGGACTCCTGCAACAATGGTAACATTGCACTAAAAACCAGGAGCTCAAACCGTCATTCTATTTCCACATGCCTCTGTTCTCCAGGCTATTGAGTTTCTGTACAACGGTTGTCTCCCCAGACAGCAATAGCAAGCTCCTTCCAGATGTGACAACCAGAAGAAGTGTCTGCAGACATTGCCTCATGTCCTCTGGGGAAGCAACACTATCATACTTGAGCCACACAGTGGCAAGCCATCCCAGCAGCCTCTGCTCCTCCCAACAAACTCTGGATAAGTCATGAAAACAGAAGGGCCCACTTAACCATACTGGGTAGTTTTGTCCTCAAATAATTAAAAACTCAGGACTGGAAATGGCGGCAGGGGTGGGGGGGGGCTTAGAATCCAGACCTCTAAGGCATCTGAGAGTGCATATAGGAATCTATACAAATATGAAAGAGGCATACTCAGCTTTGTGAGCTGTAGTATTTGGTTTTTTTTGCCAGGACGAATATAATTTATGATTTCATGTATACAGAATATCATTTGGAGGTAATGATGCTATGCAAATACCTGCACTCAAAATGCCAATAGTCCTCTCTTAGGAAATTCCAAGATAATAAAACATACTTGGATAGGAAGGATAATGTTCCTTTTACACAGAGAGACATTCAGAGACACACTGGAACCCTGTGGGCATGCTAGATCACATGGCAAGAAGAACTGCAGTTGCTCTGACGCTGAGCTTCAAATAGGCTATCCTGGATTATCTGGGTGGATGCAAAGGCCCAAGCAGTAGGAATCCTGACAGGCTAGACTTCAGCCTTTTACTCCAGTATGCCAATCAAAGGTAAGCGGTCAAAGGCAGAAAACAGAGTTCACGTATATCGGGAAGCACAGAGAAATGGGGCCAATAACCCCACGTCCACCTTCATCATTGAAGTACTACCGTGAACTCTAAATTTCAACAGAGGGATTACTGGAGTGAGCTGGAAGCAAGAGTCAGGCACATTAAGTTAGCCTTTGCCTAAGCCTGGTTTGGTTGATCATTACCTCCCGTTCGGTAAGGTGACTGTAAGAAGTCCCAGTTGCTTGTCGGGCCAAGCCCGTTCCCAAGACATGATTGCTTCTGCTTGGGTGTGATTTCTGTCATGGGATGAACAGGTCTGGGCCGTTCCTAGAATTCAGCACATGGGCAGGTTCAGGACAATCACTAGAGATGTCCATCCGCTTTGGGTGAGGTGTGGCTCTTGGGCAGGATGCTGTAAAACCTGACAGTTACTCTTTTTTTTTTTTTTTTTTTTTTTGTCTATGGGCCTCAGGTGAGATGAACTGAGTTTGTTTCAGTATCCCCAGATTTTGGACAGACACTCTTTAAGTGCAGAAGTGAGCAAAGTTGATGAGGCAGATACAAAATGAAGACAAGGAAGGCAGCCTTCCTTGTATCTCTAGATTGTCTTTCCCCTGCTGGACAGTTACAATGTAACTTATTATAGCCTCAAGCGGAAAACCAACTACTGAAGAAGATGGCATTTTCCAATAAGGATAGAGGGGAAAAAGTCTAAGACCCAAACTTTGAAAGAAATTCAGTAGGCCTGAACACTTAAAACTAACCTATTAAAAAAAAGATTAATAATGAACATTTCAGAAGAAAACAAAAATGAAATGTTGTCACAACCTATCCTGTAAACACTGTGGATCTGTAACCCCTGGGACCTTTTTTTTTTTTTTGGTCTTGTGTCCCAGACTTGAAAGCATTCAACAGAAAGTCTTCAGTAATACCACTTCCTACTGCTTTGTGTTTAAATACTTCAAAGGTTATTGTAGTGCTTGCCTATCCAAAAAGAAGCCAAAAAAAAAAGCTTCCTTATTTTGTTCTTGATACATACTCTTACGTAACTTAGATTACAAGGAAAATAATTGACATTAAAACTTTGCCTGGGGAATGTGGAAATCCAGGAGGGAATTCATTTTGTTTTACTTTGTCAAGCTAATGTGTGTGTGATGTTTTTGAGTCTATTTAGATTAAACAACTATGCTGGACAACTAAAGACACCTTCCTGATAAGAGAGCTCCTAACCTTTGAGCAAGTATGTTTCCGAGAAGACAGTTTTCTCTTTCATGCTCATTAATATTGATTACACAAACTAATTAATGCCTTCCATCATCCCAGAGATCCGATCAGCACATTTATAATCAATGACTGCCCACCTTCTGAGTAGACACATAAACCCACTAATCTCTGGCTAGTGAAATTCCAAACTCCCATACTTTGATGACATGTCTGTTTAAATATTATCTGTGGTTCATGTTTGTGCATAAAATATGATCTTCATTAGCAGAAGGGGGAGCAGTTAGACTTTGTCTTCCCCCATCTCCCATAAACTCCTGGACATAGAGAAGTCTGGATAAAACGGGTGTAGCTCCTGGCTCCAGTGTGGTTCTTGGACTGGAAGGAACATTATCACCTGGAAACTCATGAGAAATGTAGTCTTGTGGCCCACCCAGACTTCCTAAAACAGGGCCAGCACCTCCCTAGGATCACAGAATCCTCTGCATGACCAAGTGTGAGGAAAGTTGAGAGGCCAGAGAGCAGCCACCCACCTTTCTGCCATCCTCCCTCCATCTAGCCATATGCTTAACCTTGTCCTTAAATCCTATGGTACTCAAATCTGCTCTGAAGGCCAACTGGCTGCTCCTATGTCCGCCCCTTGTTCAGTTTAATTACTTTGTCTCCATTGCTGGGACCTGTGTGTGTGTGTGTGTGTGTGTTTAATTTTTATCTTATGTGTATTTTTATTTTATGTGTATGTGTATTTTGAAGGCATGTGTGTCTGGTGTCCTAGGAGCTGGAAGAGGCCATTGGATCCCCTGGGACTGGATTTAACTGGAGCTGTGAGCTGCCACACGGTGCTAGGAACCAAGTCCTGGTCCTCTGCTTGGTATCATTGGGTATTTTTTAGTATCTTTGACTCTCCTCACTGATGAAGTGAGTTTATAAAACCAGTGCTTTCTAGTTTAGATTGTATGCAACTTATGGGGGTCGGGGTACTCTCTTTCTCTCTTTCTCTCTCCCTCTCTCCCTCTCTTTTCCTCTCCTTCTCTCCTTCTTTTCCCTTCCCTCCCTCCCTCCCTCCCTCCCTCCCTCCCTCCCTCCTCCTCCTCCTCTTCTTCCCTTCCTTCTCTCTCCCTCCCTCCCTCCTTCCCTTTCTCTCCTTCCTTTCCTCCCTCCTTCTTTCTCTCTCTTACACACACACACACTCATATAATACAAACATAAGTTTCATAAAGCAGTTTGTAGGCTTCTTCCAGGAATGACATTTGTTTACACTGCTATCTAGTTTTCTTTAAAAAAAAAAATTCTGGTCAGAAACTGCTGAGGTGGGGCTTGGAGGTATATCCCAGGTGGTCGACTGCTTACCTAGCATACACAAAGCCCAGGGTTTGATCCTCAGCACTGAATAAACTGGCTGTGGTGGCAAAAGCCTGAATGTTGGTAATCCCCACCACTCAGGAGAGAGAGAGGCTAGAGGATCAGAAGTTTCAGGTCATCCTCTCCCACTGAACTGGGGGCCAGCCTGGGATATATGAGATGCTGTCACAAAGTAACCAATAAAAGTTACTGGATTAAGACAATTACTAAGGTCTCTTCTGGATACTACGATGGGAAAGAGCTGCTACTTTCCAAACGTACAGGCTTCAGTTCTGTTGTGGTTGCTGCTCTATGGCCATTATCGTGTTTATGGCCAAGGGGCCTGCAGGACAGTCCCAGCAGATTTGAGTATGAGTTTATTTTCCATTCACAAGAAACCTAACAACGTTCCATTTTTTTTTTCATTATTTCCAAGATAAGACAAAAAGGAGTTTGCCCATGTTATCAGAAAAAACATTTTCACCAAAATAAATAAATAAATAAAATTTAAAAAAAATCCAATTCTCTTCTTTGCTCTTCATGGGCTTCTGAAAATAGAACATTGGAGATAAAGTTTGGAGAGGAACCTGGAATGTTTTTCTTGGGTTTCAGCCTTTACTGGTCAAATAACTGGGCTTGTTAAATAAACGAATAGGCTTCTTTGAAATTCGACCTTTGTTTCTATGAACTTCGTTTCTCCTCATCATCTCCCTGGTTCCCTCCTCGTTTGGGGAGACTTGTGTGTGATAAGTTCCAGCAACTGCTTGATTCAAGCCCAGATATATCCTCTTTCACTCACTTACTGGACACACAAAGAATTTAAATGTCAGGCACTGAGATTTCTGAATTTAGCAATGGTGCTGGACATAGAGACAATTCTAGAATGATCCTGGCTAACAGGTAGGAAAAGCTACCTACCATAACTGCCCCCTGCCTGCTTTGGTCCATTGGAACCAATTCCTTCAAAATAAGATAAAGTAATTTTTGAAGATATAGATGTATACAGGCACCCAGTGACTGTGACATTGTTACCCATACTGACAAATACAGTTCTGAAGTCAGGACTTCAAGTTGTTTGACTTTAAACAGCTAATTTACTCCCACAAAGGTGCAAAGGCGTGGTGTGACAAATCCTGGCAGGACTTTGTCAGCAGGGCCATCTCTACATATCCCTGGGGGACTGGAGTGAGGATCTCCCTCCCCCTACCTTCTTTGGATACCTCACAGACAGTGGTGCAGGATCTGCCTACATCTTCCTGGCCTGGCAGGAAAGATAAGCAGTTTTGGTTTTGTTTTGTTTTTCCAGACAGGGTCTTTCTAACTATGTGCAGTCCTGGCTGTTCTGGAACTCACTCTCCGTAGACCAGACTGTCCTCAAACTCAGAGATCCATCTGCTTCTGCTGGGATTACTGCCAACCTAAGGAAGGTATTTAAAAGAGATCCTTGTGTCCTTCCCACTGGCTATCTGAGTACTCAAAGGAATGGTCCCAAAGGAATTGGAGTTTCCCCAGGAATTTCACACTGGCAGAAGTCTGGTGCCAGCCAGAGGAAGAACTTGTCTCCCAAAATGACAATTTCTTAGACAACCTTGTAGGAGGACCCAGAGCAGAGACAATGAT